CTTGTTTTTCTTATGGAAGTTGGTGTTATTTTATCATGTGAAGTTTTTTCTGTAGCATTATAGTGTGCAAGGTCACTTCAAAGCATTTGTGGGAAATGGAATTGCAAGACAAGTTTTTGGTGCAAAAATTTTTGAAATTCAAGCAGTTTTTTCATAATACACTTTTCCATGATTTTTTAAAAAAATTTGAAAGGGGGTGTTAGTTACAGAGTCAAATCTTCCATCTGCTGGTTTGCTCCCTAAACGGCTGCAACAGCCAGGCCTGGGCCAGGCTGAAGCCAGGACGCAGGAGCTTCTGGGACTGCCATATGGGTTGCAAGGGCCCAAGTGCCTGGACCATCTTCCATTGCTTTTCCAGGCATGTTAGCAAGGAGTTGGATGGGAAGTGGAGCAGCTGGGACACAATCCACTGTGGGTGGATTGTGCAGGACCTCTTAACTCGCTGTACCACAATGCCGGCCCCACCGTGGATCTTTTGAGGACTGCTCATATATGTGGGTTTCAAATATGAGCATGTTCCTGAATGTTGCACTAGACAAGAGCAGATGGTTGTATTGTGTTTTTAGGAGAATGTGCATTCCCTTCCAAGTTAACTGTCCTTAATTCTGTGTGGTTATCCCAGAATTTTCAAATAGAGAACATTTATCAGAAACTAAAGGCAAGCTACTTCTCTTGTAAGGGAGGCTCAGACTTTTTTTGGTCTTGACGTTGTGAGCATCCAAGTTCTAGATGCTCCTGTTCCAGTTTTTACACACTCATTCTCTGGTTACATTGTGAAAAATGTAAAGCTTCCAGTGGGCATCCCATGGAACAAGCTTAAGGCTCCTGCTCAGGTGACCAGATGTGCCAGTGTGATAGGCCTGGGGTCTGCTACACATTTTTGTCCCCTTCCTCTCACACTGACCTACTTAACATTAAGCTCGAATCCACCTGTGAAATTGCTAAGCTTTTGCTTCTGTGCTGCCTCCATATCCCCTATAATGACACGTGCCCAGGGAGCCTGCTGCTTGGTGCTTCCTGCATTATGGTCCCCTAGTCATGCCACTCAACCTCCTCTAAGACCCATGAGTGTAATTCCCCTAATTTCATATGCCTCTCCAAATATCATTTCCATGACCATATTTGGGAGTGATCTTGATAGATCCCAGAAAAGAGGATATACTGCCCCATGTATTATGCAGTTGGCAAGAAGATGACATCCATTCTAGACTGGGGGAGCAAACTCCCTTGGAGAAACGCTTTGATACCTTGGCTTTCTAACTTGGTACCTGTTGTTTCTTCTGCCGGGGAAGGCTGTTTTTGGCATTTATGTTTGGCCTCTTTATGTTGCCTTTTGCAAATGTTACCAAGAGTCTTCATCCTAAGGTTCAGATCTTCTGCCAGTCTCAATACTGCCCTCTAGGACACTGCTTACCAACCAGGATTCTGGGAAAATGAGGTAATTACCCTGTGGCTCTCGAGGATTTGGAGTCATGGGTTATCCTATGGATGGAGGCGCCCCAGAGAAATTGAGACATTTTGCACCTGTCCCCTCCCCTCTTATTAATCAGAAACTGAAACCAATGGCCCAGGTCTCAGGTGGCTAAAAGCATGATTCAGAAATATGATTGGGGAGGAAAAAGCCAAATGCCAGTTAGAGGAATGATAATGGTAGCTACAGATTAGTTATTGCTCTGAAAGCAAGCTTCTGGGTGCCAGGAGAGGAAATATAAGGGAACTTAATAGCATAATGAAATTTATTGCAAATGATATAAATATTGTATAACTTTTACATAACTTGGAAGAAATTTCTATCATTGGGTCCTATTGGAAATCCATAGTTTATATACTAAGTGTATAACAAAAGAAAAAAAGCATTATTTGTTTATTGTACTTGTATAGGAGCCAGGAGCCTGAAACTCCAGCCAGGTCTCCCACATGGGTGGCAGGGGCACAAGTATTTGGTCCATCTGCTGCTGCTTACCCAGGTGCATTAGCAAGAAGCTGGATGGGAAGCAGAGTAGCTAGGACTCAAGCCAGCACTGCAGTATGGGATGCTGGTATTACAGGGGGCAGTTTAGCCTACTGTGCCTCAAAGCAAGCTCCCCCAGAAATTATTTTTAAAAATAAATTCCTTGTGCTATGTAATAAATATTTTGTATACCAAAAGTTGAAAAGTTAATATGGCAAAATAGGTATTGATAGAGGCTTAAAACACATTTGGTTATTTATATGAACTTTTTAAAGATTTGTTTATTTGAAAGGCAGAAATCATGGCAACAATGGTCAGAGCTGTCCCAGGCCAAAGCTAGTAGCCAAGAGCTTTACCCAGGTCTCCCATGTGGGTGCAGGAGCCCAAGCTCTTGGGCTGGCCTCTGCTACTTTCCCAGGCACTTAAGCAGGGAGCTGGATCAGAAGTGGAGCAACTAAGACTCAACCCAGGGACCATATGGGATGCTGGCATTGCAGGTGGCAGCTTAACTTGCTGTGCCACACCATATGAACTTTTTTTTTTTTTTTTAACAGGCAGAGTGGACAGTGAGAGAGAGAGACAGAGAGAAAGGTCTTCCTTTGCCGTTGGTTCACCCTCCAATGGCCGGCGCGGCTGGCGTGCTGCGGCCGGCGCAACACACTGATCCGAAGCCAGGAGCCAGGTGCTTCTTCTGGTCTCCCATGGGGTGCAGGGCCCAAGCACTTGGGCCATCCTCCACTGTACTCCTTGGCCACAGCAGAGAGCTGGTCTGGAAGAGGGGCAACCGGGACAGAATCCGGCGCCCCAACCGGGACTAGAACCCGGTGTGCCGGCACCGCAAGCAGAGGATTAGCCTAGTGAGCCGCAGCGCCCCGCCTAAATATATAATTAAATTTATAGATGTGAAGAAAGATACTAGAAGACAATAACAGCAGGGAACTTCCATACCCAGTCTTTCAATAACTGACAGGTCATCCAGACAGAAAATGAGGAACCACTGAACTCAGAGTACAGTTTATACCAAAAGTACTGAACATGCGCAGAAAATTCTATCCAACAGCAAAATGCACATTCTTCTCAAGTGCACATGGAACATTCTCCAGGATAAATCCTGTCGGACCACAAAACAATCTTCTTTTTTTTTTTATTTTTTTTTATCTGCGCCACAAAACAATCTTAAGATAGAAATTACAGCAGGTATCTTTTCCAACTACAATGATTAACACTAGCAATCGAGATGGGAGGACAACTGGGGAATTCACAAATAGGCAGGCATACACACACTCCTGAGCAACCGATGAGAGTATCAGGCGAGGCACAAAGAACTTTCTTGACACAAAGGAGAATGTGAATACAACACACTGCAAAAGCAGTTGGAAGTTGCAAGTTTGCAGCCACAGATGCCTCGTGGTCTGCACACATTTACATCCAAACAGAAACATGCACAGCCTGGACATCTAAAAAAAAG